GACATGAAGTGCTTGATGTGTTAATAATTAATTTCTCGAGATTTTTTATTCATTACTAAAATGGTCCATAAGGTCACCTAGTGATAGGCGTTTGTGTTCTTATTAAACATTGTATTATTTAATAGAGTGGCCAGTAAGCACCTTGGGTCATCGGGTGATACGCGCTAGTGTTGTTGATTAACAATCTTTTATTCAATGGAGTGGCCAGTAAGCGCTCCGGATCACCGGGTGATAGTAGGCGCTTGTGTTATTGGTTAATTTTTTATTAATTAATTGAGTGGCCAGTAAGCACCCCGGGTCATTGGGTTATAGGCCAATATATAGGTCATTGGGTTATAGTGTTACTTAACATTTTAATTATTTAACAGTGTGGCCAGTAAGCGCTTCAGGTTGTGTGGTGATTGGTGCTTGCGTTATTATTTTATTTATTTTATTAATAAACAAAGCAACCAATAAGTACTTCGGGTTGTGTAGTGATTGGCGTCTGCCTTATTATTTAATGCTCTTTATCAATAAATGAAGCGACTAGTAAGTGGCCTGGATTATATGGTGGTTGGCGCGCAGAGCGCGCAGGGGGCGCAGCGCCCTAGTACTACATCAATTACAAATCGTAAATGGCTTTGTGGTGCCTTCGTTACGGCGGACTAGAAAAGGGACAATTCACCTCTCCTCTGGCTTGCTTGCATCAGGAAGCTGCGTGGTCAGATAACTTCCGTCCGTTACTTGCGCCAGGACTAAGGGCTATACTCATAGCTCGTGTCAGCTCGACACATGTACATATACTATATTTAATAAACGAGAGAATTCTTGTTCTCATTCAAGACGAGACTTTCTTTATCCTGCCGTACATCAACGTCCTGGTCTCTTCTCCTTGAACGCGGTATAGGTAGAAGTAGGACTGCCTAGTGCCTAGCAACCTGACAACTAGCCACCGGCTATTCGACTTCCCATATCTTTCTAAAATTACATTACATATATACATTTACGACACGTTGCAAATTAATTAACTACATGACATTAAGAACACGCACTACCCACCACTGACTGGGCTCCAGGAACTCCGCGAATGACTTTCAAATGACTTGTCATTTGCGGATTGCTTTGATTTACGCGAAATAAGTACCCCTGAGCACAAAGTCAGTTCAAATAATTATAATTATTGAAGCTCACAATTTGTTAGTGCGAGAGTGCAATTAAGAAGATGAAGTTGTTCTACTGTGCGACATATTTGAATTTTTTTCTGCCAGTTTGGTAGCTGTCTGCTCTCGAGAGCGCTATAGCTATACACACACACACACACACACACACACACACACACACACACACACACACACACACACATATACACACACACACACACACACACACACACACACACACACACACACACACACACACACACACACACACACACACACACACACACACACACACACACACACACACACACACACACACACACACACACACACACACACACACACACACACACACACACACACACACACACACACACACACACACACACACACACACACACACACACACACACACACACACACACACACACACACACACACACACACACACACACACACACACACACACACACACACACACACACACACACACACACACACACACACACACACACACACACACACACACACACACACACACACACACACACACACACACACACACACACACACACACACACACACAT